GGGTTAATGGTGGGTGGGTGGGTTAATGGTGGGTGGGTGGGTGCACGATGGCCGTGTGGGTGGGTGGGTTAATGGTGGGTGGGTGCACGGTGGCCGTGTGGGGGGTGGGTTAATGGTGGGTGGGTGGGTGCACGGTGGCCGTGTGGGTGGGTGGTTAATGGTGGTGGGTGGGTTAATGGTGGGTGGGTTAATGGTGGGTGGGTTAATGGTGGGTGGGTGGGTTAATGGTGGGTGGGTTAATGGTGGGTGGTTAATGTGGGTGGTTCACGATGCCGTGTGGGTGGGTGGGTTAATGGTGGGTGGGTTCACGATGGCCGTGTGGGTGGGTGGGTTAATGGTGGGTGGGTTAATGGTGGGTGGGTGCACGGTGGTCGTGTGGGTGGGTGGGTTAATGGTGGGTGGGTGGGTTAATGGTGGGTGGGTGGGTTAATGGTGGGTGGGTGGGTGCACGGTGGCCGTGTGGGTGGGTGGGTTAATGGTGGGTGGGTGGGTTATGTGGGTGGTGGGTTAATGGTGGGTGGGTGGGTTAATGGTGGGTGGGTGGGTTAATGTGGGTGGGTGGGTTAATGGTGGGTGGGTGGGTTAATGGTGGGTGGTTCACGATGGCTGTGTGGTGGGTTAATGGTGGGTGGGTTAATGGTGGGTGGGTTAATGGTGGGTGGGTTAATGGTGGGTGGGTGCACAGTGGCCGTGTGGGTGGGTGGGTAATGGTGGGTGGGTTAATGGTGGGTGGGTTAATGGTGGGTGGGTTAATGGTGGGTGGGTGGGTGGGTAATGGTGGGTGGGTGGGTGCACGGTGGCCGTGTGGGTGGGTGGTAATGGTGGGTGGGTGGGTTAATGGTGGGTGGGTGGGTTAATGGTGGGTGGTGGGTTAATGGTGGTGGTGGGTTATGGTGGGTGGGTGGGTTAATGGTGGGTGGGTGGGTTAATGGTGGGTGGGTGGGTTAATGGTGGGTGGGTGTCACGATGGCTGTGTGGGTGGGTTAATGGTGGGTGGGTTATGGTGTCTGTGCACAGTGCGTGGGGGTGGGTGGGTTATGGTGGGTGGGTTAATGGTGGGTGGGTTAATGGTGGGTGGGTTAATGGTGGGGTGGGTTAAGGTGGGTGGGTGCACGGTGGCCGTGTGGGTGGGATCTGTAGCATAACACTTCAGTTACATTATTGCATCGTGTGTGACGCTGTGTGTGTGTAGTCCCGTTGTGTTGTGATGTCAGTGTGACGCTGTGTGTATGTAGTCCCGTTGTGTTGTGATGTCAGTGTGACGCTGTGTGTGTGTAGTCCCGTTGTGTTGTGATGTCGGTGTGACGCTGTGTGTGTAGTCCCGTTGTGTTGTGATGTCGGTGTCGCTGTGTGTGTGTAGTCCCGTTGTGTTGTGATGTCGGTGTGACGCTGTGTGTGTAGTCCCGTTGTGTTGTGATGTCGGTGTGGCTGTGGGTGTGTAGTCCCGTTGTGTTGTGATGTCGGTGTGACGCTGTGTGTGTAGTCCCGTTGTGTTGTGATGTCGGTGTGACGCTGTGTGTGTAGTCCCGTTGTGTTGTGATGTCGGTGTGACTCTGTGTGTGTGTAGTCCCGTTGTGTTGTGATGTCGGTGTGACTCTGTGTGTGTGTAGTCCCGTTGTGTTGTGATGTCGGTGTGACGCTGTGTGTGTGTAGTCCCGTTGTGTTGTGATGTCGGTGTGACGCTGTGTGTGTAGTCCCGTTGTGTTGTGATGTCGGTGTGACTGTGTGTGTGTAGTCCCGTTGTGTTGTGATGTCGGTGTGACTGTGTGTGTGTAGTCCCGTTGTGTTGTGATGTCGGTGTGACTCTGTGTGTGTGTAGTCCCGTTGTGATGTCGGTGTGACTCTGTGTGTGTGTAGTCCCGTTGTGTTGTGATGTCGGTGTGACTCTGTGTGTGTGTAGTCCCGTTGTGATGTCGGTGTGACTCTGTGTGTGTGTAGTCCCGTTGTGTTGTGATGTCGGTGTGACTCTGTGTGTGTGTAGTTCCATTGTGTTGTGATGTTGGTGTGACGTTGTGTGTAGTTCCATTGTGATGTCGGTGTGACGTTGTGTGTAGTTCCATTGTGTTGTGATGTTGGTGTGACGTTGTGTGTAGTTCCATTGTGTTGTGATGTTGGTGTGACGTTGTGTGTAGTTCCATTGTGTTGTGATGTCGGTGTGACGTTGTGTGTAGTTCCATTGTGTTGTGATGTTGGTGTGACGTTGTGTGTAGTTCCATTGTGTTGTGATGTCTGCAGTGTGTGTAGTTCCATTGTGTTGTGATGTTGGTGTGACGCTGTGTGTAGTTCCATTGTGTTGTGATGTTGGTGTGACGCTGTGTGTAGTTCCATTGTGTTGTGATGTCTGCAGTGTGTGTAGTTCCATTGTGTTGTGATGTCTGCTGTGTGTGTGACGCTGTGTGTCGTCTCACCGTGTTGTGTGACGCTGCGCGTGTGACGCTGCGCGTGTGACGTTGTAGAGAGATGGAGCGAACTTTCTTGGCGGTGAAGCCCGATGGAGTCCAAAGGGGACTGGTGGGCGAGATTGTTGGGCGCTTCGAGAAGAAGGGCTTCCACCTCGTGGCACTCAAGATGATTCACGTGAGGCTCGCTCGCTCGCTCAGAGACTCGCTCGCTCACTCAGACAGAGACTCGCTCACTCAGAGACTCGCTCAGAGACTCACTCACTCAGACTCACTCACTCAGAGACTCACTCGCTCAGAGACTCGCTCAGACTCACTCACTCAGAGACTCACTCACTCAGAGACTCACTCACTCAGAGACTCACTCACACAGAGACTCACTCAGACTCAGAGACTCAGTCACTCACAGACTCGCTCGCTCAGAGACTCGCTCAGACTCACTCGCTCAGAGACTCAGTCACTCACAGACTCGCTCGCTCATTCAGAGACTCATTCAGACTCACTCAGAGACTCACTCACTCAGAGACTCGCTCGCTCACAGACTCGCTCGCTCAGAGACTCACTCTCTCGCTCAGAGACTCACTCTCTCGCTCAGAGACTCACTCACTCAGAAACTCTCTCGCTCAGAGACTCACTCTCTCGCTCAGAGACTCACTCACTCGCTCAGAGATTCGCTCACTCAGAAACTCACTCGCTCAGAGACTCACACTCTCGCTCAGAGACTCACTCGCTCGCTCGGAGACTCACTCAGACTCACTCGCTCGCTCAGAGACTCACTCGCTCGCTCAGACTCGCTCGCTCACTCAGAGATTCGCTCACTCAGAGACTCGCTCATCCACACTTACAGAGACCCACAGATCTGAGACCTCCTGTAGACCAGGCAAGGTAGTCAAAAATCTACACTGGGATAGAGACGCACACACACACACACTCCACCACATATACAGCAGCAGGTATCGTCAATGTCACGGGATCGAACCCACGAAGACCTCCTGTAGACCAGGCGAGGTAGTCAACATCTCACCACTGAAAGAGAGAGACACACACTCCACCACATATACAGCAGCGGGTATCGTCAGTGTCACGGGATCGAACCCACGAGACCTCCTGTAGACCAGGCGAGGTAGTCAACATCTCACCACTGAAAGAGAGAGACACACACTCCACCACATATACAGCAGCAGGTATCGTCAGTGTCACGGGATCGAACCCACGAGACCTCCTGTAGACCAGGCGAGGTAGTCAACATCTCACCACTGAAAGAGAGAGACACACACTCCACCACATATACAGCAGCAGGTATCGTCAGTGTCACGGGATCGAACCCACGAGACCTCCTGTAGACCAGGCGAGGTAGTCAACATCTCACCACTGAAAGAGAGAGACACACACTCCACCACATATACAGCAGCAGGTATCGTCAGTGTCACGGGATCGAACCCACGAGACCTCCTGTAGACCAGGCGAGGTAGTCAACATCTCACCACTGAAAGAGAGAGACACACACTCCACCACATATACAGCAGCAGGTATCGTCAATGTCACGGGATCGAACCCACGAAGACCTCCTGTAGACCAGGCGAGGTAGTCAACATCTCACCACTGAAAGAGAGAGACACACACTCCACCACATATACAGCAGCGGGTATCGTCAGTGTCACGGGATCGAACCCACGAGACCTCCTGTAGACCAGGCGAGGTAGTCAACATCTCACCACTGAAAGAGAGAGACACACACTCCACCACATATACAGCAGCAGGTATCGTCAGGGTCACGGGATCGAACCCACGAGACCTCCTGTAGACCAGGCGAGGTAGTCAACATCTCACCACTGAAAGAGAGAGACACACACTCCACCACATATACAGCAGCAGGTATCGTCAGTGTCACGGGATCGAACCCACGAGACCTCCTGTAGACCAGGCGAGGTAGTCAACATCTCACCACTGAAAGAGAGAGCCACACACGCACACACTGGCGGAACCAGTGGGGGGGTGGGGTGGCACGTGCCCCCCCCCCCCAATGATCCGATCGAAATCCCTAATTTCGATTGGATCATTGGGGTGTATTAGTAACAAGCCTTTTGCCCGTCCTAGGACTAAAGCTGTGATATTTACGAAAAAACTGGGCAGAGTACAATTGTATCCTGTGTCATCTTGCACGAAAAAAATGTCATCAAACGCTTGAGTGAATTATTAGACTGTAGCGCTGTCTTAATGGCAGTGATGCTCGCTACAAACTAGGTCCTGAAACATCTCGCTTAATGTCACTGTAGCGCTGTATTTAACTGACCTTCAATTAGCCTTTTGGCCCATCCTCGGGTGCAAGCTGTAACATTACTGGCCGACAACGCCTTACTAGCTAACAACTCCTTACTTACTAACAAGTCCTTGCCAACAACTTCTTACCCACTAACAACTCCTTACCATCATCTTGGGTCTTTCGGTAAAGTCATCACGTAGAAGGGAAATATTAAAATAATAAAAATAAAACATTAAATAATTCTCACGACGTTTCGGCCACAACGCAAGCAGCCGTCCTCGGGTGAAGAACAGGTCTGTCGGGGAGACAGCGTCTGAATGAGTGAGTGACTGAGTGAGTGACTGAGTGGGTGAGTGACTGAGTGGGTGAGTGACTGAGTGGGTGAGTGACTGAGTGGGTGAGTGACTGAGTGGGTGAGTGACTGAGTGGGTGAGTGACTGAGTGGGTGAGTGAGTGACTGAGTGGGTGAGTGAGTGACTGAGTGGGTGGGTGAGTGACTGAGTGGGTGAGTGAGTGACTGAGTGGGTGAGTGAGTGACTGAGTGGGTGAGTGAGTGACTGAGTGGGTGAGTGAGTGACTGAGTGGGTGAGTGAGTGACTGAGTGACTGAGTGACTGAGTGACTGAGTGACTGAGTGACTGAGTGACTGAGTGACTGAGTGACTGAGTGACTGAGTGACTGAGTGACTGAGTGACTGAGTGACTGAGTGACTGAGTGACTGAGTGACTGAGTGACTGAGTGACTGAGTGACTGAGTGACTGAGTCTGAGTGAGTCTGGTGGTGTTTCATTCAGACGCTGTCTCCCCGACAGACCTGTTCTTCACCTGAGGACGGCTGCTTGCGTTGTGGCCGAAACGTCGTGAGAATTATTTTATTATGTTTTATTTTTATTATTTTATTACTTCCCTTCTGCATGATGACTTTACCGAAAGAACCAAGAAGATGAATCCCTGCAGTCACGAAAGCTTTAAATCGAAACTCCTTACTCACTAACAACTCTATCATTTTTCATCAGGGTCCGAGATCGAACCCACGACCTCCTGTAGACCAGGCGAGGTAGTCAACATCTCACAGGGTCCGATATTGAACCCACGACCTCCTGTAGACCAGGCGAGGTGGTCAACATCTCATCAGGGTCCGAGATTGAACCCACGACCTCCTGTAGACCAGGCGAGGTTGTCAACATCTCATCAGGGTCTGAGATTGAACCCACGACCTCCTGTAGACCAGGCGAGGTAGTCAACATCTCACAGGGTCCGAGATTGAACCCACGACCTCCTGTAGGCCAGGCGAGGTAGTCAACATCTCACAGGGTCCGAGATTGAACCCACGACCTCCTGTAGACCAGGCGAGGTAGTCAACATCTCATCAGGCTCCGAGATTGAACCCACGACCTCCTGTAGACCAGGCGAGGTGGTCAACATCTCACAGGGTCCGAGATTGAACCCACGACCTCCTGTAGGCCAGGCGAGGTAGTCAACATCTCACAGGGTCCGAGATTGAACCCACGACCTCCTGTAGACCAGGCGAGGTAGTCAACATCTCATCAGGCTCCGAGATTGAACCCACGACCTCCTGTAGACCAGGCGAGGTGGTCAACATCTCACAGGGTCCGAGATTGAACCCACGACCTCCTGTAGGCCAGGCGAGGTAGTCAACATCTCACCAGGGTCCGAGATTGAACCCACGACCTCCTGTAGACCAGGCGAGGTAGTCAACATCTCACCACTGGGATGGAGACACACACAGACTCCACATATACAGCAGCAGCAGGCATCGTCAGGGTCTGGGATCGAACCCCTGGTGGTGGCGGTGGTTGGTGTTGGTGGTGGTGTTGGTGGTGGTGTTGGTGGTGGTGGTGTTGGCGGTTGGTGGTGGTGGTGGTGGTGTTGGTGGTGGTGTTGGTGGTGGTGTTGGCGGTTGGTGTTGGTGGTGGTGTTGGTGGTGGTGTTGGCGGTTGGTGGTGGTGTTGGCGGTTGGTGGTGGTGGTGTTGGCGGGTGGTGTTGGCGGTTGGTGGTGGTGGTGGTGGTGTTGGTGGTGGTGTTGGCGGGTGGTGTTGGCGGTTGGTGGTGTTGGCGGTTGGTGGTGTTGGCGGTTGGTGTTGGTGGTGGTGTTGGCGGTGGTGTTGGCGGTTGGTGTTGGTGTTGGTGGTGGTGGTGTTGGCGGTTGGTGGTGGTGTTGGCGGTTGGTGTTGGCGGTTGGTGGTGGTGGTGGTGGTGTTGGCGGTTGGTGGTGGTGTTGGCGGTTGGTGGTGGTGGTGTTGGCGGGTGGTGTTGGCGGGTGGTGGTGGTGGTGGTGGTGTTGGTGGTGGTGTTGGTGGTGGTGTTGGTGGTGGTGGTGGTGGTGTTGGTGGTGGTGGTGGTGGTGTTGGTGGTGGTGGTGGTGGTGTTGGCGGTTGGTGTTGATGGTTGTTGTTGTTGACAGGCGTCACGTGAGCTGCTGCAGCAGCACTACATTGACCTCAAGGACCGGCCCTTCTACCCGGGCCTGGTGGAATACATGCACTCTGGGCCTGTCGTGGCCATGGTGAGTCACCCGCACGCTCGCCCACTCATCCATCCACCCACTCATCCATCCACCCATTCACTCACTTGCCCACACGCTCGCCCACACGCCCGCTCACACGCCCGCTCACCCACCCGCTCACTCACTCACTCACTCACCCACTCGCCCGCACGCTCACCAGCTCACCCGCTCATCCATCCACCCACTCATCCACCCATTCACTCACCCGTCCACTCACCCACCCACTCACCCGTCCACTCACTCACCCGTCCACTCGCTCACCCGTCCACTCGCTCACCCGTCCACTCGCTCACCCGTCCACTCGCTCACCCGTCCACTCGCTCACCCGTCCACTCGCTCACCCGTCCACTCGCTCACCTGTCCACTCGCTCACCCGTCCACTCGCTCACCCGTCCACTCGCTCACCCGTCCACTCGCTCACCCGTCCACTCGCTCACCCGTCCACTCGCTCACCCGTCGACTCGCTCACCCGTCGACTCGCTCACCCGTCGACTCGCTCACCCGTCGACTCGTCACCCGTCGACTCGCACGTCGACTCGCTCACCCGTCGACTCGCTCACCCGTCGACTCGCTCACCGTCGACTCGCTCACCCTCGACTCGCTCACCCGTCGACTCGCTCACCCGTCGACTCGCTCACCCGTCGACTCGTCTCACCCGTCGACTCGCTCACCCGTCGACTCGCTCACCCGTCGACTCGCTCACCCGTCAACTCGCTCACCCGTCGACTCGCTCACCCGTCGACTCGCTCACCCGTCGACTCGCTCACCCGTCCACTCGCTCACCCGTCCACTCGCTCACCCGTCGACTCGCTCACCCGTCCACCCGCTCACCCGTCCACTCGCTCACCCGTCCACTCGCTCACCCGTCCACTCGCCCACTCATCCATCCACTCACCCACCCACTCACCCACCCACTCGCCCACCTACCAACTCACTCACTGCAGTGCCACTCCATGCCCAGCAGGGGTAGCTCCACCCTCGGTGCCTTCGTCAAGGTGAGGGGGTATCTCCCCTAGGTCCACTCGGCCTCAAATAAGTTCGCTGATGTGGTGGTGGTGGTGGTTGTGTAGTGAACATCGCTAGCACTGGGGGAGAGACAAAGGCGGCCGGGCGTGCTGCTGGCCACCCACCCCCTCTGTGTGCTAGTAGCCTTCATAGGTGCTGCTACTACTAACAGCACTTGCCCCTACAGCCCTGCTAGAGGCTACCTGGGGTAGCTTTGTCTGTGTGCGTGGTGTGTAGTACATAGACACTGCTGCTGCTACTCGCTAGCTCACAGCACTTGCCCCACAGCCCTGCTAGAGGCTACCTGGGGTAGCTTTGTCTGTGCGTGGTGTGTGTAGTACATAGACACTGCTGCTACTCGCTAGCTAACAGCACTTGCCCCTACAGCCCTGCTGGAGGCTACCTGGGGGAGCTTTGTCTGTGTGTGTGGTGTGTGTAGTACATAGACACTGCTGCTGCTACTCGCTAGCTAACAGCACTTGCCCCTACAGCCCTGCTAGAGGCTACCTGGGGTAGCTTTGTCTGTGCGTGGTGTGTGTAGTACATAGACACTGCTGCTGCTACTCGCTAGCTCACGGCACTTGCCCCTACAGCCCTGCTAGAGGCTACCTGGGGGAGCTTTGTCTGTGCGTGTGGTGTGTGTAGTACATAGACACTGCTGCTGCTACTACTAACAGCACTTGCCCCTACAGCCCTGCTAGAGGCTACCTGGGGGAGCTTTACCTGTGTCTGTGTGGTGTGTGTAGTACATAGACACTGCTGCTGCTACTCGCTAGCTCACGGCACTTGCCCCTACAGCCCTGCTAGAGGCTACCTGGGGGAGCTTTGTCTGTGCGTGTGGTGTGTGTAGTACATAGACACTGCTGCTGCTACTACTAACAGCACTTGCCCCTACAGCCCTGCTAGAGGCTACCTGGGGGAGCTTTACCTGTGTCTGTGTGGTGTGTGTAGTACATAGACGCTGCTGCTACTCGCTAGCTCACGGCACTTGCCCCTACAGCCATGCTAGAGGCTACCTGGGGGAGCTTTGTCTCTGTGGTGTGTGTGTAGTACATAGACACTGCTGCTGCTACTCGCTAGCTCACGGCACTTGCCCCTACAGCCCTGCTAGAGGCTACCTGGGGTAGCTTTGTCTCTGTGTGGTGTGTGTGTGGTACATAGACACTGCTGCTGCTACTCGCTAGCTTGCAGCACTTGCCCCTACAGCCATGCTAGAGGCTACCTGGGGTAGCTTTGTCTCTGTGTGGTGTGTGTGTAGTACATAGACACTGCTGCTGCTACTCGCTAGCTCACAGCACTTGCCCCTACAGCCCTGCCGGAGGCTACCTGGGGGAGCTTTACCTGTGTCTGTGTGCGCTCCAGGTGTGGCAGGGGGCCAACGCGGTGAAGACGGCGCGGAAGATGCTGGGGGAGACGAAGCCGGACGACTCGAACCCCGGCACCATCCGGGGAGACTTTGCTGTGCAAGTGGGACGGTGAGGGAGACACACGGGGAGAGAGCGAGAGAGACACGGGGAGGGGGAGACAGGGGAGGGGGGGGGGAGACGGGGAGAGAGACACTGGGGGGAGGGAGACAGGGGGAGGGAGACAGGGGGAGGGAGACAGGGGGAGGGAGACACGGTATGGGGGAGACACGGGCAGGGAGAGACACGGGCAGGGAGAGACACGGGCAGGGAGAGACACGGGCAGGGAGAGACACGGGCAGGGGGAGACACGGGCAGGGGGAGACACGGGCAGGGGGAGACACGGGCAGGGGGAGACACGGGCAGGGGGAGACACGGGGAGGGGGGGAGACACGGGAGGGGGGGAGACACGGGCAGGGGGGGAGACACGGGGAGGGGGGGAGACACGGGCAGGGGGGGAGACACGGGCAGGGGGGGAGACACGGGCAGGGGGAGACACGGGCAGGGGGAGACACGGGCAGGGGGAGACACGGGCAGGGGGAGACACGGGCAGGGGGAGACACGGGCAGGGGGAGACACGGGCAGGGGGAGACCCGGGCAGGGGGAGACACGGGCAGGGGGAGACACGGGCAGGGGGAGACCGGGCAGGGGGAGACACGGGCAGGGGGAGACACGGGCAGGGGGAGACACGGGCAGGGGGAGACACGGGCAGGGGGAGACACGGGCAGGGGAGACACGGGCAGGGGGAGACACGGCAGGGGGAGACACGGGCAGGGGGAGACACGGGCAGGGGGGAGACACGGGCAGGGGGAGACCGGGCAGGGGGAGACACGGGCAGGGGGAGACACGGGCAGGGGGAGGACACGGGCAGGGGGAGGACACGGGCAGGGGGGAGACACGGGCAGGGGGAGACACGGGCAGGGGGAGACACGGGCAGGGGGAGACACGGGCAGGGGGAGACACGGGCAGGGGGAGACACGGGCAGGGGGAAGACACGGGCAGGGGGAGACACGGGCAGGGGGAGACACGGGCAGGGGAGACACGGGCAGGGGGAGACACGGGGGGGGAGACACGGGAGGGGGGGAGACACGGGGGGGGGGGAGACACGGGGAGGGGGGGGGAGACACGGGGAGGGGGGGAGACACGGGAGGGGGGGAGACACGGGGAGGGGGGGAGACACGGGGGGGGGGGGAGACACGGGGAGGGGGGGAGACACGGGGAGGGGGGGAGACACGGGGGGGGGGAGACACGGGGAGGGGGGGAGACACGGGGAGGGGGGGAGACACGGGAGGGGGGGAGACACGGGGAGGGGGGGAGAGACAGGGGAGGGGGGGAGACACGGGAGGGGGGGAGACACGGGGAGGGGGGGGGGAGGGGGGAGGGGGGAGACACGGGGAGGGGGGGAGACACGGGGGGGGGGGAGACACGGGGAGGGGGGGAGACACGGGGGGGGGGGGAGACACGGGGAGGGGGGGAGACACGGGGAGGGGGGGAGACACGGGGAGGGGGGGAGACACGGGGAGGGGGGAGACACGGGGAGGGGGGGAGACACGGGGAGGGGGGGAGACACGGGGAGGGGGGGAGACACGGGGAGGGGGGGAGACACGGGGAGGGGGGAGACACGGGGAGGGGGGGAGACACGGGGAGGGGGGGAGACACGGGGAGGGGGGGAGAACACGGGGAGGGGGGGAGACACGGGGAGGGGGGGGAGACACGGGGAGGGGGGGAGACACGGGGAGGGGGGGAGACACGGGGAGGGGGGGAGACACGGGGAGGGGGGGAGACACGGGGAGGGGGGGAGACACGGGGAGGGGGGGGAGGGACACGGGGAGGGGGGGGAGACACGGGGAGGGGGGGAGACACGGGGAGGGGGGGGAGACACGGGGAGGGGGGGGAGACACGGGGAGGGGGGGGGAGACACGGGGAGGGGGGGAGACACGGGGAGGGGGGGAGACACGGGGAGGGGGGAGACACGGGGAGGGGGGAGACACGGGGAGGGGGGGAGACACGGGGAGGGGGGGAGACACGGGGAGGGGGGGAGACACGGGGAGGGGGGAGACACGGGGAGGGGGGAGAAAGACACTGGAGGAGGAGACACGGGGAGGGGGGGGAGACACGGGGAGGGGGGGAGACACGGGGAGGGGGGGAGACACGGGGAGGGGGGGAGACACGGGGAGGGGGGGAGACACGGGGAGGGGGGGAGACACGGGGAGGGGGGGAGACACGGGGGGGGGGGGAGACACGGGGAGGGGGGGAGACACGGGGAGGGGGGGAGGACACGGGGAGGGGGGGAGACACGGGGAGGGGGGGAGACACGGGGAGGGGGGGAGACACGGGGAGGGGGGGAGGACACGGGGCAGGGGGGGAGACACGGGCAGGGGGGGAGACACGGGCAGGGGGGGAGACACGGGCAGGGGGGGAGACACGGGCAGGGGGGGAGACACGGGCAGGGGGGGAGACACGGGCAGGGGGGGAGACACGGGGCAGGGGGGAGGACACGGGAAGGGGAGGACAAGGGCAGGGGGAGACACGGGCAGGGGGGAGACACGGGCAGGGGAGACACGGGCAGGGGGAGACACGGGCAGGGGGAGACACGGGCAGGGGGAGACACGGGCAGGGGAGACACGGGCAGGGGGAGACACGGGCAGGGGGAGACACGGGCAGGGGGAGACACGGGCAGGGGGAGACACGGGCAGGGGGAGCACGGGCAGGGGGAGACACGGGCAGGGGGAGACACGGGCAGGGGGAGACACGGGCAGGGGGAGACACGGGCAGGGGAGACACGGGCAGGGGGAGACACGGGCAGGGGGAGACACGGGCAGGGGGAGACACGGGCAGGGGAGACACGGGCAGGGGGAGACACGGGCAGGGGGAGACACGGGCAGGGGGAGACACGGGCGAGGTGGGAATGATTTGTGAGTGTGTCTGTGTTAGTGGTAAAGCAACGCTGTCGTGGACATTGCTGTGGTGGGGAGGGCCAATTCCGATTGGCCTTTCCCCTCATGGCGTCTGTGACCACCACAGCGGCCAAAAGGGGGCTCTGGATGGGTGCGAGGGGCTGGTAACCCCTCCACCTTCAATTAATTACCACTAAACTACGACCGAAAAATGTAATTAGAAAGCTTGTGCCGGAGGCCCCGGGGGAACAGGCTTCTATGACGTCTCCTGGCCAAACCCCATTTGGCGGAGCCAGGAGACTGAATTTTCACCCTCGGGGCTCTTCAAGAAACAACGAAAAGCCACTACGTGTGGCGACGTGGAATGTTTCGAAGGCTCACTGCGGAGGAGAGGCTGCCACTCCTCTGTCGGGAGCTGGACCGGTACCGCCTGGATTTCTGTGGCATTCAGGAGGTCCGGTGGACCGGCTCTTGCTCCTGCCACCATGAGGGGTGGACAGTCCTCTACTCGGGGCAGGAGACTGCCAAACAACAGGGAGTGGCTCTTCCTCTGAACAAAAGAATGAAGGGGGCGTGGGAGTGTGGCGGTGCCTGGGTATTTTGTACCATCGGGCACTCCACCCCCACAACTCCCAATCAGTGATGGGGCAGTTGTGGAGAGAGTGGAGAGTTTCTCATACCTGGGCAGTGTGCTTATGACCGGCTCCGGTTTAACAGCAGAGGTCTCGCTCCGAATCAGTCGAGCGGCAATATCTTTTCATCGGTTGCGTAATACTGTGTGGAAGCTACCTGGTCTGTCGCTCCGCACGAAGCTTCGGGTCTTCTCAGCCACAGTCATTCCCTCCCTTCTCTACGCTTGCGAAACGTGGACCCCCCTAATGGAGCATCTTCGCCGGTTGGAAACATTAGGCTGGCCTGCCTACGATCCATCCTGGGTTTAACCAGGCTGGATTGTGTGAGGAGCTCACAAATCCTTGAAAGATCTGGGCAAAGTCCCATCGGTGAGCTCTTCCGGCAGGTAAGGCTGCGTTGGCTGGGTCATGTAGCCCGCATGCCCAGCCACCGCATGCCTAAACAGCTTTTGTTCGGCCGGATCGAGGGGGCTAAACGGGCGCGGCACGGGCTGCAGAAGAGATGGAATGACGTGGTACAGGAGGACGTGGAGCTGAGTGGACTTGCCGATGACTGGTACCAGCGGTGTCAAGATCGGCCTCTGTGGAGGAGGCTCGTGAAGGACGCTACTGGGCAGTTGGAGGCAGTCGCCCTCCAACAACAACGGAGGGCGGAGGAGCGACGCTCACAACAACGAGCGGAGCGCCGGGTGGCTAAAGCACAGTAGGGGGCACAGGTGGTGCATCAGCCAGTCATCTCGGTCATCTCGGTCAGTCGACCCGTGGCACCTGCTGGGTCTGCCCCGTGACCTCCTGCCAGCGGGCGTTCGACACTTCACGTGGTGCACATGGCCTGGCACAAGCGTCGTGGTGACGTCACCGCCACTTGGTGGCGAATGGCGGTTGTTGTTGTTGTTGCAGCCTATAGCAATAGGATTGCCTAGCGACGGCTGATAAGACTTGGCACGGGCGTTAGATTAAAAAAATAGATCTTCCGTTGACGACTGAAAGTCAAGATCATTTTGTGTTAGCGAGATTCATCACCTCTCCCCCCCACCACTCTCCCCCCCCCGCTCTCCCCCCCCACTCTCCCCCCCACCACCACAGCAACATCATTCACGGCAGCGACTCTGTGGAGAATGCGGAGAAGGAGATAGCTCTGTGGTTCACGGCTGAAGAGGTCACCTCCTGGAAGAGCTGCGCTCACGACTGGGTCTACGAATAGTCAAGACCACTACTACCTACCACCCACTACTCTACCACCCACTACTACCTACCATTCACTACTCTACCACCCACTACCATCACCCACTACCACCCACCACTAGTACTACTAGCACCCACCACACACACACTGACACTCGCTCACACTGACACACACACACACTGACTGACATACACACACACTCACTGATACACACACACTCACTGATACACACACACTCACTGATACACACACTCACTGACACACACACACTGACTGACATACACACACACTCACTGACACACACTCACTGACACACACACACTGACACACACACACTGACACACACACACTGACTGACATACACACTCACACACACACTCACACACACTCACACACACACTCACACACACTCACACACACTCACACACACTCACACACACACATTCACACACATTCACTCACTGACACTCACACACACACACTCACACACACTCACACACACTCACACACACTCACACACACTCACACACATTCACACACATTCACACACACACTCACACACATTCACTCACTGACACACACACACACTCACACACACTCGCACACATTCACTCACTCACTCACACTCACTCACACACACTCACTCACACTCACACACACTCGCACACACTCGCACACACTCGCACACACTCACACACACTCACACACACTCGCACACACTCGCACACACTCACACACTCACACACTCACACACACACTCTCACTCACACACACTCACACACACACACTCTCACTCACACACACTCACATTCCCTGACAGTGTTCCATGCTCCAGGCGTATGCTGTGTTCACCGCCCTCTCTCCCAAGTGAATAAAGTTGCTCTGACCGACCCTGCCTCCTCTGTCTGTGAACCTCATTAAACAGGACCCTGTGGGATGGGCTGGTAGGAACGAACAATTGAATGGCTATAATAAAATGAAATGGCAAATAAGCATAACCCGTAAAAACAAAGTTTTTCACTCAATCCTTTATATGCGTGGCGGCTCAAGTCGTCTCGTCCTCTGGCTTCAGATGGCTGCCACCTGTGGGTCAGGTGATTGCAGTATTAAACAATTGGTAATTAAATATTTAATTTGTTTTCCCTAAACTAAAATTTTGGAAAAAAAAATTTCACGAACATTAATTGTCTCGCACAACGAGTCTGTGTGCAAAATGTCAGCTCGATTGGATCACGGGAAGTGGGTTAAAAAACGACCGAAAGGTTTGCACGGTCGCAAGCAAGCGAACTTAATATAAAGGATTTAAAAATGGCTGCCAATAAGTGGATGGCCCGTGGCCCCGCCCCAACCCCGCGTAGCCCTGCCCCATCTCAGTGTACCCGCCCCTTACCGCCGTAACCCCGCCCCAACCCTGCGTAGCCCCGCCCTCCACCTCGTGGCCACGCCCCCTGCCGCCGTTGCCCCGCCCGTAGCCCCGCCCCTTGCCGCTGTAGCCCCGCCCAATACACCCCTAGCGGGGGAGAGATTCCCAGGCCTGGCTCTAGGCTTGGAGACCTGCCGACGAGGTGGGGGGTAGGGAGTTGTTTTTAATGTAAAAGCTTTAAATGTAAATGTTTCTATTTAAAAACATCAGGGAATGTAACATTGTTAAACATTAACTCCCTTTCACACACGCGGGGGAACTATACGAAGGGAGAGTTTGAGGCCTAGTTCTAGGCTTCAGGCCTAGCTGTAGGCTTTAGGCTGCCGTGAGTTAATTGTTAATTTAAATGTTTTAAATATTAATGTTAAAGCTTTAAATGTAAATGTTTCTATTTAAAAACATGAGGGAATGTAACATTGTTAAACATTAACTCCCTTTCACACACGCGGGGGTACGATACGAAGGGAGAGTTTGAGGCCTAGTTCTAGGCTTTAGGCCTAGCTGTAGGCTTTAGGCCGCTGTGAGTTAAATTTTAATTTCAAAGTTTTAATTAAAAGCTATCTCAGGGAATTATAAGGGAATGTTACACTTGTTTAGCCAGGAAAGCGTCACTGAGTCTAAAAGGTTTTTGTAGGGTCATGCCAAGTGTTTGCAGTAGAGGGCGATGCTGCTACATAGACGGATGGACAGACGGACGGAAGGACGATATAATCTATTGTAGGCTGGTCCACTTCGTTCCTACCAGTAAAAATTCATACACGCCACGCCCATCTCATGCATATTCATGAGGAGCTGGCACACTCATCTCGTTCAGCTAACAGCACTTGCCCCTACAGCCCTGCTAGAGGCTACCTTGGGGAGCTTTGTGAGTGGTGTGTGTAGTACATAGACACTGCTGCTGCTACTCGCTAACAGTACTTGCCCCTACAGCCCTGCTGGAGGCTACCTGGGGGAGCTTTATCTGTGTGTGTGTGGTGTATGTAGTACATAGACACTGCTGCTGCTACTTGCTAGCTAACAGCACTTGCCCCTACAGCCCTGCTAGAGGCTACCTGGGGGAGCTTTGTGAGTGGTGTGTGTAGTACATAGACACTGCTGCTGCTGCTACACGCTAGCTAACAGCACTTGCCCCTACAGCCCTGCTAGAGGCTACCTGGGATAGCTTTGTCTGTGTGTGGTGTGTGTAGTACATATCCAGTTTAACACGTAGCAGGCTTTCGCGACCAATATTATTCATAATAAAGTTTTTGGGTTTAGATCGCGTTATTTATAAATGTGTCGCAATCCTCCACCACCCGACACGGCCAATCAGCAAAAAAGTGTCACGTTGACAAAAGACAAATAGTTCACTGCTTTAGCCCCATACCGGTGTGTTGAAGCCACAACATTTACAATTTGAGTTGTACGACGTTTCGCTGGTAATTGCATCCAGCATCATCGGGCAATTCGTCAGAATGGTGAGGCTCTGCTGTCTCCCGTTCTTATATAGAGCAGCAGCAGCAGCAGGGTGACATCATCATTGACTCATTAACTCATCAGGTGCAAAGATTTGAGGGGGGAGTGATTGTAATTATATACTAGATTAGTAATCAGGCTATTGTTACGATGCGAGTTGTAGATTAGTAATCATTTGGAATGTGTTTTATTGTGATTATGCTACATTAGTAATCAGTTAGTGGTTGTTTCCCTTATAAGGAATTGTAATGTATCTTATTTATGTGTAGTACATAGACTGCTGCAACTCGCTAGCTAACAGCACTTGCCCATACAGCCCTGCTAGAGGCTACCTGGGGGAGCTTTGTCTGTGTGTGGTGTGTGTAGTACATAGACACTGCTGCTGCTACTCGCTAGCTAACAGCACTTGCCCCTACAGCCCTGCTAGAGGCTACCTGGGGGAGCTTTGTCTGTGTGTGGTGTGTGTCGTACATAGACACTGCTGCTGCTACTCGCTAGCTAACAGCACTTGCCCCTACAGCCCTGCTAGAGGCTACCTGGGGGAGCTTTGTCTGTGTGTGGTGTGTGTAGTACATAGACACTGCTGCTGTAACTCGCTAGCTAACAGCACTTGCCCCTACAGCCCTGCTAGAGGCTACCTGGGGGAGCTTTGTCTGTGTGTGCTGTGTGTAGTACATAGACACTGCTGCTGCTACTCGCTAGCTAACAGCAATTGCCCCTACAGCCCTGCTAGAGGCTACCTGGGGGAGCTTTGTCTGTGTGTGGTGTGTGTAGTACATAGACACTGCTGCTGCTACTCGCTAGCTAACAGCACTTGCGCCTACAGCCCTGCTAGAGGCTACCTGGGGGAGCTTTGTCTGTGTGTGGTGTGTGTAGTACATAGACACTGCTGCTGCTACTCGCTAGCTAACAGCACTTGCCCCTACAGCCCTGCTAGAGGCTACCTGGGGGAGCTTTGTCTGTGTGTGGTGTGTGTAGTACATAGACACTGCTGCTGCTACTCGCTAGCTAACAGCACTTGCCCCTCTAGCCCTGCTAGAGGCTACCTGGGGGAGCTTTGTCTGTGTGTGGTGTTTGTAGTACATAGACACTGCTGCTGCTACTCGCTAGCTAACAGCACTTGCCCCTACAGCCCTGCTAGAGGCTACCTGGGGGAGCTTTGTCTGCGTGTGGTGTGTGTAGTACATAGACACTGCTGCTGCTACTCGCTAGCTAACAGCACTTGCCCCTCTAGCCCTGCTAGAGGCTACCTGGGGGAGCTTTGTCTGTGTGTGGTGTTTGTAGTACATAGACACTGCTGCTGCTACTCGCTAGCTAACAGCACTTGCCCCTACAGCCCTGCTAGAGGCTACCTGGGGGAGCTTTGTCTGCGTGTGGTGTGTGTAGTACATAGACACTGCTGCTGCTACTCGCTAGCTAACAGCACTTGCCCCTACAGCCCTGCTAGAGGCTACCTGGGGGAGCTTTGTCTGTGTATAGACTGCTGCTACTCGCTAGCTAACAGCACTTGCCCCTACAGCCCTGCTAGAGGCTACCTGGGGGAGCTTTGTCTGTGTGTGGTGTGTGTAGTACATAGTACATAACTCTGATAATGTATGCACTGTCCTTGAAGTTGATTGGTCCACACCCGAGACAGCTTTCCTTAGAGCCTAGTCTCACTTGGTGAGACTATTGTTGTTTGCATTATGACTGCAGCTATTGTGGTCAATGCAAACATGACTCCTTGTAAAAAAAGGTGTCAGTTTTGTTGCCAGATAAAAGGGTAAAAAACCAATTATCAAGTTCAGTTTTTGTTATGGGTCTCGATCAGTATGGGTCTCTGTACGTATCTATGGGTCTCTGTACGTATCTGTGGGTCTATGTGGGTTTCTGTGGGTCTATGTGGGTTTCTATGGGGCTATGTGGGCTCTATGGTTCTACATGAGTCTCTGAATCTCTGTGGATTTCTATCGATCTCTATGAGTATATGGGTATCTATGGGTCTCTGTAGATCTCTCTGAGTCTGAAAAAATTTGCGTTTGAAAGTATTTGGATTTTTCCCCTCCACATTTAGAATCAACATGACCACGCCTTTCGAGTATTTGGCTGCTATAAATTTCCACATGATGATGATGATATCATCCACATCGTTGATCTATTATCATTTGTGAAAGTCAGAACACTTCTGATAAAGAGCTACGACATAGCTCAGTGGGGCCTTAACACCTGGTAAAATAAATAAAACAAATGTTTATAGTTTGTAAAGTCTTGGTTCAGAGTGGATTGCTTGTCGTTGAAAGTGGCTGCTTGCGTTGCCATGGAAAGGTCATCCGCCATGTACACAAACACATTTTCGAGGTCCTGGTTTGGTGAAGAATACAGGGAAACAAACGCATTGCCTTTCACCAGCACTTCAATAGCGTCCACTTCCTCGTCAAGGCGTGAAGTCACACGCAATGCCTCCTTTTCGACCACCCCTCAGAGACGATCACCCCTCCCTGTGCCTGTGTTGCCCGCTCTGTGTATCTTGGTGATATCTGTCTGCTTATATGTGTGTCTATATATTTTTTCTGGTTAGATTTTATGTCGCTATTTCATTATACCCGATGATGATTGCTTGTGTTGCAATCGAAACGTCGTAGTATGCTATTATTTAATTTATTATTTTTTCTTTATACACGTGACTTTACCGAACGAACGAAAGAATAATTACTGCAGTCACGAAAGCTCCAAAGTTAAGACGGATACTCTTAGTTTTTTCGGTAAAGTCACGAAAAAAAACCTAAGAGTATGAATCCTTGCAGTCACGAAAGCTTCAAATCTAGGATCTTGAACGGAGTTTGAAAAGGGAACTCACAAACAAACGCCGTCTCCATGTTGGGAAAGTCCCAAACCCAAAAAGTCACTGGGGTTTGACTTATCACGAAACTCCTCATGGTCCAACCCTTAAACCAAATCGAGTGCACAAACCAGGAATGCAGCAGGGGAAGCATCGGCAGAAGATGCCGATACCTGATTATGCACAAATGTAAAATAAAAAAATTAAACACTGGTTAGTTCAGCGTGACTGTGGTCATCCAGAGCAAACCGGACGTATGTGTGAACGTTGGACTTCTTTCGCACCATACATAGTCAACCGTGCTAATATGTGGGTCCCTTTAGGTCTTTATGGGTGTCTGTGGGTCTCTGTGTGTGTATGTGTGTGTGCGTTAAACTTCTGTTGCACCGTACGTAGCCAACCGCGCTCATCTGTGGGTCTCTCTGTGTCTCTATGAATCTCTGTGTATGTATATATGTGTATGCTAACTTATTTTGCACCGTTTGTAGCCAACCGTGATAATCTGTGGGTCTATGTATGGCTCTATGGGTGTCAGTGGGTCTCTGTGTATGTCTGTGTGTGTGTATGTTGAATATCTTTTTCACCGTACGTAGCCAACCGCGCCAATCTTTGGGTTTCTGCAGGTGTCTATGGGTGTCTGTGAGTCTCTGTGTATGTGTGTATGTGTATGTTGAACTTCTTTTGCACCGTACTAATTGGAGGTGCGGTGGAAGGACAACAAATTGCACCTTTGGAATCAACGTCACGCATTTATGGAGTGTTTTGCTGCCGTCATATATTTCCACGCGATGACGACGATGACATCGGCTACTTCTTTGAGTTGCTGTGATTTGTCATTGCCAGGGTCGCTTCTGAAGAAAAGCTAAGTAGCTCAGTGGGGTCTAACACCTGGTAAAATACAAAATATATTGTTCAGTTTCAATATGGGTCTTGATCCGCATGGTCTCTGTGGGTCTCTGTGGGTTTCTGTGGGTCTCGATGTGTTTATGTGGCGTTATGTGGGTTTCTGTGGGTTTCTGTGTGATTCTGTGGGTCAATGTGGGTCTCTGTAGGTCTCCATGGGTTTCCGTGGGTCTTTGTGGGTTGCTGTGGTCTATGTGAGTTTTTTGGGTATCTGTGGGTCTCTGTGGGTTTCCGTGGGTCTCTGCGAGGTTCTGTAGGTCTCTGTGGGTTTCTGTGGGTCTCTGCGGGTTCCTAAGGATCTTTGTGTGTTTATTTGGGTCGCAGAGTAAACAAAGTCCCTCCAACGAGTCAAGGTGATGGTTCAGGGTGGAGGGGGGGGGACCAGCTACACCGGTGACGAATATCTGAACCGGTAGGTCCCCAGGGCCTTCTCCAACGAGGCCGATTCAGGCCTCAAATGAGTAACGTGTTGGATTGGTGGTGGTGTGCAGTAGCAACGATCGCCACTGGCGGTGAGAGAGACAAAGGCGGCCGTGCTGGCGTGGTGCTGGCCACACAACCCCTTTAAGTGCCTGGGTCCAAAAGGGGACCTTGCGTGTGACTTCAAGTCACGGCGAAGGAGGGGACGCTACTGAGGCGCTGGCAAATGACTAGGCGATTGTTTCCCTGCATTGTTTACCAAACCAGAGGCACGCAAATTTGCTTGTGTACACGTGGCGGATGACCTTGCCATGGCAACGCGAGCAGCCACTTTCAACGACAATGAATCCACTCTCAACCAAGACTTTACAAACTCTAAAAATGTATCTATTAATGTAGATATTTATTTATTTATTTTACCAGGTGTTAAGGCCCCACTGACCTATGTAGTAGCTAAATGTTTTTTTACCCTTCTATCTGGCAACAAAACTGACACCGTTTTACAAGGAGTCATGTTTGCATAGACCGCAATACCTGCATTCATAATACAAACAAAAAACATAACTCTGATAATGTATGCACTGTCCTTGAAGTTGATTGGTGCACACCCGAGACAGCTTTCCTTAGAGCCTAGTCTCACATCGTGTTGGACCAGATGACGCCAAAAGGCGCACGGTCTATGCAAACATGACTCCTTGTAAAAAGGTGTCAGTTTTGTTGCCAGATAGAAGGGTAAAAAACCAATTATCATATTTTTACTGGCAAATAAGGTTCCCATAGAGTGGACGTTATTGAGGCGCTGTGAATGGCAAGGCGATTGTTTTTCTGCATTGTTTACCAAACCATTGCCATGCCAATTTGTGTACACATGGCGAATAACCTGGTTCAAGTTCAAGTTCAGGTATTAGGTATAGAGCCCTGTGAGCCACTCGGCTCTTGAATCGGGTGCAACGGCAACAAACAAAGAACAAAAACATGAACAAGAAAACATCTTAAAGTGAATATGTGACTAAGTGCAAACAGAAAATCCAAGAAAAGACAGCAAATTATTGCAGAAAAAATCACCGTACACCAACGTTGTGTGCAAATATCCCAGTGGGATGCAAGTCAAACAACCAACAACAACCACAAGACAACTTAGATTAAGGCCATCAGTCTAACTCTGTACTACAACAAACAAACATGGCTAAACCAATACACTTTTCAAAATCACCAAAATAAAGCCATGAAAGCAATGAAACAGTGATCATAGGAACTGTGACGGAATTTTCACAATAAATGGTATGCAGGAGGTCGTGGATTTGATCCAGCACCCTGACGATTCCTGCTGTATATTTGTAGTCCGTGTTTCTCTCTCCATGGAGATGTTATGGGTGTCTGTGTGGTGAGTCTATGGGTGTCTGTGTGGTGAGTCTATGGGTGTCTGTGTGGTGAGTCTATGGGCCTCTGTGTGGTGAGTCTATGGGTCTCTGTGTGGTGAGTCTATGGGTGTCTGTGTGGTGAGTCTATGGGTGTCTGTGTGGTGAGTCTATGGGTGTCTGTGTGGTGAGTCTATGGGTGTCTGTGTGGTGAGTCTATGGGTGTCTGTGTGGTGAGTCTATGGGTGTCTGTGTGGTGAGTCTATGGGTGTCTGTGTGGTGAGTCTATGGGTGTCTGTGTGGTGAGTCTATGGGTGTCTGTGTGGTGAGTCTATGGGTGTCTGTGTGGTGAGTCTATGGGTCTCTGTGTGGTGAGTCTATGGGCCTCTGTGTGGTGAGTCTATGGGTCTCTGTGTGGTGAGTCTATGGGTCTCTGTGTGGTGAGTCTATGGGCCTCTGTGTGGTGAGTCTATGGGCCTCTGTGTGGTGAGTCTATGGGTCTCTGTGTGGTGAGTCTATGGGTCTCTGTGTGGTGAGTCTATGGGCCTCTGTGTGGTGAGTCTATGGGTCTGTGTGTGGTGAGTCTATGGGTCTCTGTGTGGTGAGTCTCTGAGTGGTGAGTCTATGGGTCTGTGTGTGTGTAGCGGTTGAGCAATAGTTAGCGCTACGCTGCGCTACGAACCATGGGGTCCCGAATTGGATTCCCGCTCACGGCCAACACACGCGACAATTATCTAAACCGGTACTGGGCCTCCCTTAGGTCGACTCAGCCTCAAATGAGGACGAGTAGCGATGTGTAAAGATCGCCACTGGGGAGACAAAGGCGGTCGGGTGTGGTGTTGGCCACCCACCCCCTCGTGTGCCGTGCCGGCCTTCATAGGTGCTCGCTAACAGCACTTGCCCTTACAGTCTGTTAAGGCTACACGGGGGATCTTTATCTTCATATTTTATATGATTGCAGTGGGGAGAGACAAAGGCGGCCGTGAGCGCGTGGTGCTGGCCACCCACCGCACCCACAGCACCCACAACACCCACCCTACCCACCCACCCCACCTACCCTACCCATCACACCCCAATTCGTGTGCCAGCCACATTTGCTTACATTGAACAACGAGCTAGGATAAATATATATTTACAAACCACCCCCAACTGCTTATACGCAAATATGTTTGTAGGAGTGTCTACCCCGATCCCAATAGTCTCTGGGGCTTATAAAGTCTCCCAGTTCACCACGCAGACTCAGTCACCGCTCCAGGGATATCTCTCTGTCTCTCTCTGACTCTGTAACTCTGTCTGTCTCAACTCGCCGACTTCCCATCCCAAAGCGCGATATCAACGCCAGGCTCCACGACTCGAACCATGACTTGCTACCTGCTGGGTCTGCTCCTCGTGGCGATGATGTTCGTGAGCGGAGGTGAGACAACTTCGCTGCTAAAGAAGTGTTTGTTGTTGCAAGAACACCAAAGCAACGCCGATACTGCGATGTATATAGAGATTTCGCTTTAAAGCTGCTTTCGTGACTGCAGCAGGGATTCATCTTCTTGGTTCTTTCGGTAAAGTCATCACGTAGAATGGAAATAATAAAATAATAAAAATAAAACATAATAAAATAATTCTCACGACGTTTCGGCCACAACGCAAGCAGCCGTCCTCAGGTGAAGAACAGGTCTGTCGAGAAGACAGCGTCTGACAGACCTGTTTGCCGTGATGATGATAATGATCGTCTGCCGTGATGATGATGATGATCGGTGTTGTTCTTTTGTCTTGATTTTGCGGATATACAGGGCAAAGCCTCAAATGCTTCGAGTGCAGCCCGACCATCAACAAAACGGCGTGCAACGAGCGCGGCCCCATCACGTGTTTCGACGCCTCGCTCGACACCTGCGGGACAATTCTCCTCTACAAGGGCTCCTGTAAGTGCGTCGCTTGTTCTCGCAAAGATGGGGATGGTGGTGGGCCCCTTGCGTTCAGCAGTGACTCCCAGGCTCATGATGCACTCGCAAGACACGCATCTGTCCTCACTTTGTGATGAGTCTATGGGTCTATGTGTGTGATGAGTCTATGAGGTCTCTGTGTGTGATGAGTCTATGGGTCTCTGTGTGATGAGTCTATGGGGTTTCTGTGTGGTGAGTCTATGGGGTCTCAGTGTGGTGATGAGTTTATGGGGTCTCTGTGTGGTGAGTCTATGTGGTCTCTGTGTGTGATGAGTCTATGAGGTCCTAGTGTGGTGATGAGTCTATGGGGTCTCTGTGTGGTGAGTCTATGGGGTCTCTGTGAGTGATGAGTCTATGGGGTCTCTGTGTGGTGAGTCTATGGGTCTCTGTGTGATGAGTCTATGGGGTCTCTGTGTGTGATGAGTCTATGGGGTCTCTGTGTGTGATGAGTCTATGGGGTCTCTGTGTGTGATGAGTCTCTGGATCTCTGTGTGGCGAGTCTATGAGTCTCTGTGAGTGATGAGTCTATGGGGTATATGTGTGATGAGTCTATGGGGTCTCTGTGTGTGATGAGTCTATGGGTCTCTGTGTGATGAGTCTATGGGGTCTCTGTGTGTGATGAGTCTATGGGGTCTCTGTGTGGTGAGTCTATGGGGTCTCTGTGAGTGATGAGTCTATGGGGTCTCTGTGTGGTGAGTCTATGGGTCTCTGTGTGATGAGTCTATGGGGTCTCTGTGTGTGATGAGTCTATGGGGTCTCTGTGTGTGATGAGTCTATGGGGTCTCTGTGTGTGATGAGTCTCTGGATCTCTGTGTGGCGAGTCTATGAGTCTCTGTGAGTGATGAGTCTATGGGGTATATGTGTGATGAGTCTATGGGGTCTCTGTGTGTGATGAGTCTATGGGTCTCTGTGTGATGAGTCTATGGGGTCTCTGTGTGTGATGAGTCTATGGGTCTCTGTGTGATGAGTCTATGGGGTCTCTGTGTGATGAGTCTATGGGTCTCTGTGTGATGAGTCTATGGGTCTCTGTGTGATGAGTCTATGGGGTCTCTGTGTGTGATGAGTCTATGGGTCTCTGTGTAATGAGTCTATGGGGTCTCTGTGTGGTGAGTCTATGGGGTCTCAGTGTGGTGATGAGTTTATGGGGTCTCTGTGTGGTGAGTCTATGTGGTCTCTGTGTGTGATGAGTCTATGAGGTCCTAGTGTGGTGATGAGTCTATGGGGTCTCTGTGTGGTGAGTCTATGGGGTCTCTGTGAGTGATGAGTCTATGGGGTCTCTGTGTGGTGAGTCTCTGGATCTCTGTGTGGCGAGTCTATGAGTCTCTGTGAGTGATGAGTCTATGGGGTATATGTGTGGGGGGTCTATGGGTCTCTGTGTGGTGATGAGTCTATGGGATCTCTGTGTGTGATGAGTCTATGGGATTTCTGTGTGGGGAGTCTATGGATCTCTGTGTGGGGAGTCTATGGATCTCTGTGTGGTGAGTCTAAGGGTCTCTGTGTGAGATGAGTCTATGGGACTATGTGTGTGTTGAGACTTTGGGTCTCTGTTTGTAAACAGTCTATGGGGTTGCTGTGTGCAGAGTCTATGGGTCTTTATGCGGTGATGAATCTATGGGGTTTCTGTGTGGTGAGTCTGTGGGTTCTCTGTGTGTGAGTCTATGGGTCTCTGTATGTGATGAGTCTATGGGGTCTCTGTGTCTGATGAGTCTATGGGTTTATTTACGTGATGAGTTCATGGGTTTCTGCATCCCAATTGGTGACTCTTCCCCAATGTGTTGATATTTCTTTGGGGTCCTCCGATGTTCCCCCCTCCACACGTTCGGAGTATTCTGCAGCCGCTTTACATTTTCACGCGATGAACAAGACCCTGCGGGGTGGGCTGGTAGGAATAATACTAATACCGGTACAGGGATATCGACCGGGTATAGAGGAGTTAAAAAGAAAATGATTTGTGCATGGGGGGTGAGCGATGACGTCCACACCCCCCTCCCCACTGACTCGCGCGCCCACAGAGCAAGGATTGCAACAGGCGATGTCATTGGCTGCGCCGAATGCGACTGCCATCTTGTTTAGTTCATTTAGTTCACCGATCGCAGGGGGAGCGGGCGGCCATCTTGTCGGACAGACGGACAGTCGGACGGACACATTAATCTATTGGTGGTCTGGTCCACTTCGTTCCTACCAGTATAATGGTGACGATATCAGCCACCGTTTGTGGTAGCGGCTTTTTGACTGGCTGTCGAACAAAGGTGGCCACTGCATCATCGCACGGAGCTTTCGGATGCGCTGCGAGAGATTTACACTTTTAAAACATCATCTCAATTGACATCCTCATTTCTTAAAACTGCTTTTTGTGTTTTAGTTTGTTTCCCTTCCCCGCGCACCTGCAATTAGCGCGGTGGGCTACGTATGGTGCGAAAGAAGTTCAACAAACACACACAAACATATACAGACACCTACACACAAAGATAAAGACCTACAGAGACCCACAGATTGCCACGGATGGCCACGTACAGCACAAAAGAAGTTCAACATACACGTACAGGTCACTGCATGACAGCTCAGCGGGGCTTACACCTGGTAAAATAACAATTACAAATATATTTGTAAGTGTTTTTAATGAAAAATGCTTTACTTACAATGAGACCCGCGTGCCTTCTCTTCCGCCCAGCCTACGTCCTCCTCAAGCAATGCCTCCCCAAGACCTTTTGCGACACCGTCAAAGTTTTCGACGGCACCTACAGCGGAGTCACGCTGACCACCACGTGCTGCCAGAGTGACGGTTGCAACGTCAACGCCGCCCCTCGACCTCTGGGCGCAGCTCACGTGACCCTGGCCCTGCTGGGCGTGGCCTCCAGCGTCGTGGTCAGCAGGGCTCTGGTGTAGGTCGTGACGTCACAGCCGCACCCCCCCCACCCACGACTCATCACACAGAGACCCATAGACTCACCACGCAGAGACCCATAGACTCACCACGCAGAGACCCACAGACTCACCGCGCAGAGATAGACTCACTACACAGAGACCCATAGACTAACCACGCAGAGATAGACTCACTACACAGAAACCATAGACTCATCACGCAGAGACCCATGTACTTATCACACAGGACCCCATAGACTCATCACACAGAGTCCCATAGACTCACCACACATACACCCATAGACTCACCACACAGATACACGTAGACTCATCACACAAAAACCCATAGACTCACCACACAGAGACGCATTGACTCACCACACAGAGTCTCGTAGAGTCACCACACAGGGACCCATAGACTCATCACACAGAGACTCATAAACTCACCACACAGAGACCTGTAGACTCATCACACAGAAACCCATAGACTCAACACACAGAGACCCATAGACTCATCACACAGAGACACGTAGACTCATCACACAAAAACCCATAGACTCACCACACAGACTCATCACACAGAGACCCATTGACTCATCACACAGAGACGCATTGACTCACCACACAGAGTCTCGTAGAGTCACCACACAGGGACCCATAGACTCATCACACAGAGACTCATAAACTCACCACACAGAGACCTGTAGACTCATCACACAGAAACCCATAGACTCAACACACAGAGACCCATAGACTCATCACACAGAGACACGTAGACTCATCACACAGAAACCCATAGACTCACCACACAGACTCCTCACACAGAGACCCATTGACTCATCACACAGAGACGCATTGATTCACCACACAGAGTCTCGTAGAGTCACCACACAGGGACCCATAGACTCAACACACAGAGACCCATAGACTTATCACACAGAGACACGTAGACTCATCACACAAAAACCCATAGACTCAACACACAGAGACCCATAGACTTATCACACAGAGACACGTAGACTCATCACACAGAAACCCATAGACTCACCACACAGACCCAGGCTGATATTTTGTTCCGAGAAGTGAGTTGGCGTGAACTCTTATGGGAAGAGACGTAATCTAATATAAAACCGTGTGACGTGGGTTGGGCCCCCCACGTGATGTGGGTTGGGCCCCCCACGTGGTGCGGTGTGGGCCCCCCATTGCGGTGCGGGGGCGAGGCGGTGCGCGAGAACGCTCTGCTGAGCGCCAGCGAGCGCGTGCGCTACCGCCGCCCCGGGGCCATTGGCCCTGGCAAACCCGCCGGCGTCACCCCCCGTGACGAAGTCAACACCGGGTCCCGATGCCACCACCCGGCCCAGACGCCACCCGCAGCGATGGCTCCGGCTCAGCTGCTGGAAGTCCGTCCTGAGCTGCCGTGGTTCAGGCCCGGCGGTTTGCGTCGCTGACCCTGGTGGCGCCGCGGTGCCCACCACCCGGCCAAGCGGTCGCGCCCACCCCGTGAGCTGTTTACCGGCCTGCAGGATGCGGGCGACCCACATCGATGTGGCCTCGTCCGGCGTCACCACCGGCGTGACAACGCCGGCGCGGCGAAGCAAAGGCGACGAGGTGCTCGACCACGAGGTTCTTGCTTGCCTTGTCGGCAGGGCGAGGGAAGGCTTTCCTTGCCAACACCAGCAGCGCCACCCCTGTAGGCTAGAGTTTGACTCTCTAGCCTCCCACTGGCGGTCCTGAAACCCTCTGAAGGCGCCCTCGGCAAGTGAGTAAATTTCCCCAAAAGCCTCGGAGGCTGCCTGTAGAGTGGTCATGCCGTGCGTGGGAAGGGAGGTTAAAGATGCGCACATCATCATCCAGAACGGATGGCAGCTCTCGTAGCACCTCTTCGTCCGACCATCGTGTTTGGCCGCACGTTCGATAAAACCTGCGTCTGGCTACGCGCTGTTTTTCTTAGATTGCGAGCGGTTAACCTCAAATTGAAACCTCAGTTGCAGACGTCCGTTCGGTATTGTGGGCACACAGTCAGCAAGGCAGGTATTGCGACAGACCCCGATGAAACTGCATGCCTGTGCAGATGGCTAACCCTCAAGTCGGCGGGAGAGGTGCGTAGCTTTATCGGATTTGCATCCTACTACCGCCGCTTTGTCCCCCGGTTCGCCACCGTTGCCGAACCCCTCCACGCCATGACGGCGAAGTGCCAAACATTTCGATGGCGAGCAAAGGAAGAGACCGCATTCGTTGCGCTCTGCGATGGGCTGGTGGACGCACCTTCCCTCAGACACCCAGATATTTCATTACCATTCATCCTGGACGCTGACGCTAGCAACACGGGCATTGGCGCAGTGTTGTCCCAGGTGGCGAACGGGGTGGAGAGAGGGTCGTGGCGTATGGCGGCAGACTGATGTCCCCGGCTGAGCAACGCTATCGCGTGACGCGTCGCGAACTGCTTGCTATGATCTTCTTGGTTTTTTTCGGTTAAGTTACGTAGAAGGGAAGTAATAAAATAATACAAATAAAACATAATAAAATAATTCTCACGACGTTTCGGCTACAACGCAAGCAGCCGTCTTCAGGTGAAGAATGAGACACTGCCAAGCTAGGAGCTTATATATAAGCTGAGTTTGAGGTGGAAGAAGAGCGCCTTAACAAAAGAATGTGCATTTCAAGAGGAATTTAGCATATTCATGGAAAATGAGTAGGAGGTGGGCGGAGGGGTTTCAAAGTCATATTATGCCCGTGCATTATGCAGGATCAGCAGCACCAAAGGGAGGGGGCAGGGGGTAGCATTAACAAAGGGAGGGAATGTTAATAGTATGTAGAAGCAATGAAACATGTGAATGGGAGAATGGTGGCCGGAGACCCGCAGTGGAGCAAATAATGCATTCCTTGTGGAGAACACAAGATACACAGTTAATGCCAGTGAGTGAACTGCGTTCTGAAAGTCACCGTAAACGTGAACAACAGTGATCTTCATACAGCAGCACCGCCCCTGTCTGTATGGCAGGCGATTCGAAGTGTGTTCCAATCACGCCGTCCTCCAGTACTCTTCATGCTTCTTGGTTCTTTCGGTGAAGTCACGTAGAAGGGAAGTAATAAAATAATAAAATAAAACATAATAAAATAATTCTCACGACGTTTCGGCCACAACGCAAGCAGCCGTCCTCAGGTGAAGAATGAAACACCACCATTTTATTTTATTATGTTTTATTTTTATTATTTTATTACTTCCCTTCTACGCGACGACTTTACCGAAAGAACCAAGAAGATGAATCCCTGCAGTCACGAAAACTTTAAATCGAGAATTATTTTATTATGTTTTATTTTTATTATTTTATTACTTCCCTTCTACGCGACGACTTTACCGAAAGAACCAAGAAGATGAATCCCTGCAGTCACGAAAGCTTTAAATCGAAATTTTACTCTTCACGCGTTGAGCAACCATCCGGCCAGCTCTCCCGCTGATTGGAAATCCCGGCAGGACTACTCATTCCGGGTGTCTTACCGTAAGGGTGCGATGCACACCGATGCGGACGCGCTTTCGCGGATTCCCCTGGGCGACGAACGTGCGTGCCTCTGGGGTTCGGCGCCGATGCAGATTGACTACCGCGGCCGTGCCTCCTCCGGTTGTCCGGTCAGCGGGGACCTCCGCCGCTGATAATCCCGGCGATTCCGTCGCACGCGATGCCACGCTTGGGTTGAGCCACGAAAATTGGGGGCGCCTCCAGGCTGAGGACGCCTCCCTATAGAAAGTACGGCACCGCGTCAGCGATACGGGCGATGGGTTGAACCGATGCAGGGTAGCTCCTGTCATTCTCAAGGAAGGTCTTTGAATGTGTTGGGACAGTGGCTTGCGTCGCCACGGCATCGTGGTACCTACGAGCCTCAGGGGTAGACTAATTTTGGCCATCCACAAGCGATTGATGCACCTGGGTGTTTACAAAACTCTGGCAACCTCTGCTTGGTTCTTTCGGTAAAGTCGTCACGTAGAAGGGAAATAATAAAATAATAAAATACAATTCTCACGACGTTTCGGCCACAACGCAGGCAGCCGTCCTTGCGTTGTGGTGACTTTACCGAAATAACCAAGAAAATGAATCCCTGCTGCAGTCACGAAAGAAGCTTTAAATCGAAACTCTGGCAACCGTTAAGCTTGATCTTTTTTTGGGCCCGGAATGGCGGGAGTCATCAAGAACGTCCTGAAGGGTTGTGTGCAGTGTGCTCGCCGCAAACCGCCATCTGCTCAATGCTGCCTGCCCTTGCAATCTATTCGGGTTTTCCGTATCAACGAGCTCGTCGCACTCGATATACTTTGACCTGTCCCCGTCACAGCCTGAGGTAATAAATACTTGCTGGTGGGTGTGGAGTATTTCTGCTGTTGGCCTGTGGCTTGGCCCCTCCCCAAACAATCGGCCGCCGCCATCACCGAAGCATTTCTGCATGGATACGTGCCGGATAAGGGAGCCCCAGAGCGCCTCCTTACTGACCAAGGGAAAACATTTTCATCCAAATTATTGCAAGAAGTGTGCGACCTTTTGGGCACGAAGAATCCCCAGACGGATTGGATGGTTTAGCGACTTAAGAGGACTGTAACATCTATGTTGAGTCAGCAGGTCGATGCATCCCAGAAACATTGCGATCTGCACATTTCAGGGGCACTTGCAGCCTACAGAATAGCTCCGCATGTTTCCACCGGCTACTCGCCATTCTTTCTAATGGACGGGAGAGAACCAAACCCTCCCCACTGAAGTCCAGCTAAAGACGGCTCCTAGGAAGCCGAGGGTTACCACCTCACAACTCATGCGTTTCACCTTTCAACGGGTTTCGGAAGCACGCGAGGCTTCGAAAGAAAATTCCGCCCCACGGAAATCGGCCAACGAACGTCTCAGTCGGGTAAATGGTGGGCCCCGAGGGACAGGGCTTGGCTGCACTGCCCTCAAGTACGCGTGGGCACATCCCCCCAGTTGTACAGACCCTGGCGAGAGCCGGTTAAGGTGATACGGGCCGACCGGCCACAATATGTTAATATCCAGTTCGGCCGCCAGAATTGGTTTGCGCATCCATCCCGCCTTAAGCCTTTTGTCACTCCCCGTCACATCCCTTTATCTCCAATCCACGAGGGCCGAGTTTGCCAGGCGAGCTGGGGGGCGCGTGCCTGTTGAGGTTGTGGT